AGCTAAGTATAGGGAAACTTAATATGTATTTATCCTTTAGTTTATATTTTTTCCAATACTATAAATAAAATTATTTACGAGTAGATTTTCGCTCATCCATACGCTTCTTCATCAACCTTAAATTTAAAAAAATAAATATATTTTAAAAAATGATAAGATATTATTTACATGTCTATATTACCTATTATAATATACCATAGCATATCTATACATGCCAGTATGTGTGGCATTTAGGAACTTCAGTGTTGACATATCTAAATTCCAAGGGCAACCATTTTGACATGCATACTGCAAAACTCCAAGATTCCCAGATAAGGTAGCCAATTCAGTTGTATTTGCAGTCCATTCACATCCATTCTCATGAGCATATCGCAGTGTGTTAATTTGCCCAGACATAGCAGCCATATCACAAGTACCCCTGTCCCATGGACATCCATTTTCATGGGCATATTTTAAAGTATTTAATTGCCCATTAGCAGCTGCTATTTTGCATGTATCTAAACCCCATGGACAACCTTGTTCATGAGCATATTTTAAACAATTAGTGTGTCCCATTCCAGCTGCCATTTCACAAGTTCCCTCATTCCATGGACATCCATGTTCATGGGCAAACTTAAGTGTGTTAATATGTCCGTGCGCAGCAGCAAATTTGCATGTGTTCTCATCCCATGGACATCCCTGTTCATGAGCATATTTTAATGTGTCAACTTGTCCAAATCCAGATGCATTTTCACAAGTTCCCTCATCCCACGGACATCCATGTTCATGGGCAAACTTAAGTGTGTTAACATGTCCAGCCGCAGCAGCAACTTTGCATGTGTTTTCGTTCCACGGACAACCCTGTTCGTGAGCATATTTTAATGTGTTAAGATGACCATTTTGTGCTGCCAAAATGCACGTGTGATCACCCCATTCCAATCCTAAGTTGCGGGCATACATTAAACAATCTAAGTGTCCATGTTCTGCGGCACTGGCACAAATTGAAAAGTTTGGTACACCATTTTTTTTTCTCACTGTGTTTGTACCCAATAGTAAACG